CTTATATATGGCCGAGGGCAATTAACTCGTTCCTAGCCTTTCCCTCCCCAACCTCCCTTCCTCTTTCAAGCAAGTTTTCATGCACATGGCTTTCAATGAGGCCAGCACAGGAAGATCTGGAGCTATAAAACTCCAACCCAGCCTTTTAATGTAGTATTCCTGGATCTAAACTGACCAATAGGGCTGTGTGGAGGGTGACCTCCATGACCTCCATTACAGGGGACATCAGAAAAACCAACTGGCGCCTGAGCCTGAACTCAGGGACCGGGTCCATCCCAGCAGAGAGGGAGGTACCTGGCCGAATGTGAAGGCACCGGCCACTCAGACAGCATTTCCCCGCCTACGATTTCACAAGCAGAAGCCAAACTTCTGATTGTGCTCTGGCTTTCAAACATGCAGGTTATTCAAGTCATCTTGTCGGTAAGTGTGACATGGCGTTCTGGTTTCACCAGCAGCCTCTCTGGAGGTGGCAGTGGGAGGCCACTCCAAGGAGACAGCTCCCTTCTATGTGTGTGTCTCCCGAGGACAGGGAGGTGTCCCACACAAGCCTCAGAGAAGTTAAGACTTGTGGTTAGTTCCACATCAGGATACAGGCAGGCCCAGAACCCAGATGCTCCTGCCTTCCAAAGCTGAGAGTATTACAGGCAATGGACCTCCCCTGGCTTAGGTCCATGCCGGGGACATGATCCACACAGAGAGGGTGGCATGCTTGCATGTTTTATTTACAACAGAGCTTCAAAATTATTTGCTGGTAAAGGACATGCCGTTTTCATTCTTCTTCCTGCTTGAGTGACCTGAGGACCATGCCCTAACACACAGGTCAGAAGCTGGTAACTAGCTCACTGGTACCCAAAGAGTCATCTCTGGATTTGCCAGAGGAATTCAGAGAGTGGCCAGGTTGTGTGTGTACTTGGGAGGGAACCAGTCAGTCTTGATGGAGAGCAGCCAACAAACCCAGTGACTGTAGGGGGAGGATACGGTGGCTGAGAAAGGGGAGACTCACCAGCTGTTATTAAAGACGAGGTCTCAGTGCACGAATTTGTGCATGGGTGGGGTCCCTAGGCCTGGCTGGACATCAGGGCCGATTGGGGCCTGCCGGCCACAGGGAGGAACCGCGGGAGGCTGGCCAGCTGGAGGAAGGGACTGTGGAAGGTTGGCCAGCCACGGGAGGTTGGCTGTGGGAGCGCACTGACCACCAGGGGCAGGTCCTGCGTTGAGTGTCTGCCCCCTGGTGATCATTGCACGTCATAGCGACTGGTTGACCAGTCGTTCTGGTCATTCGGTTGTAATGGTTGCTTAGGCTTTTATATATATAGATTGAGGGCACATAAATTATTCTTTTCTAGAACCGGGGGTAGGGAAAAGGATAGAAGGAAAGAGAGTGGTCTTTTCCATGCGGTAACTCCCAAGGAGCCGAGGTGGCTTTATACTCCATTAAACCAACATCTTAGGAGACATTGGTCTCTGCCAGAAAGCTACTTGGAAGTTCATTTTTCTCGGTGCCTTACTGTGCACTGGGGCTGGGAGTGTGGATCCTTAAGATCCTGTCTGGCTTAGCAGAGAGGCGCAGACCGAGGGCCTAGCAAGGAAAAGGTGAGAGTAAGAGGGGAAGCATAGGGGCAAGCTTTACAAAGGGCTCTGTGTATGGGTTCTGCACCCCTTTTGGGCAAGGGTAATTGGGAGGGGACCGACGATGGGAAGAAAAAAAAGACCAGTTCTGTTTGTGAGTGAAATCTGGTATCAAATGAGACCCAGCCACTGTTATTACCTACTTTTTCTCTGCAGCCTGTTTAAAGGGACCAAGGGGGCAGCGTGGCTGCCTGCGGAGAGCAGCCTGGGACAGAGGCAAGAAAAGGGGGGAGAAGACCTCTCACCGTGGAAGCCTTTTCCAACTCGCACGGCCTCCTCCTTCACAAGCAGCCTGCTCAGCCAGCCAGGAGGCGGGGCTGTTCTTCAGCATCACTGCTCCTACAGAGCCGTGGGGAGCCCGGGGAGCCCAGAGTCCTTCCGCTTGTCTTCAGACAGCTGCAAACTTGACTGTGCACGGGGTGGGAGCTGTAGGAAGGAGGCTTGAGTTCTGAGACATGAAAGCTCAGAACCTCAATGACTTGCCAGAAAGCTGTTTTGACCTAAAATTGGGGCCTCACATCAGTCATGCTAGTGACTCAATGAACGGGATAATTAACAAAAACAAAAATGTTGGGAAAGTGGGGGCTGGAGAACCCAGAGGGAGGTAGGAGAAAGTGCTAATATAAAGGGAACAAATGTTCCCAAAAGGCATTTCACTTAAAAAATAAGTAAACAAGGCCAGCCGTCGTGGCTTAGTAGTTGAGCATTGACCTATGAACCAGGAGGTCACGGTTCGATTCCCCGTCAGGGCACATTCCCGGGTGGTGGGCTCGATCCCCAGTGTGGGGTGTGCAGGAGGCAGCCAATCAATGATTCTCATCCGTGATGTTTCTCTCTCTCTCTCCCTCTCTGAAATCAATAAAAATATTATTTACAAAAACAAATCAATAAAGCAAAGCAAAGAAAGGGCTGTCAAACTCACTTTTTTCTTATCCTTCCAAATTCATCCTTTTTCAAAAGCTCCGGCCCCGAGTGCAGATTCTAACTGAAGCGGGCAGAGCAAAGCTCGGACTACAAGGGAATGAAACACAATCAGGGCACGAGTCGCCGAGGGGGACGTGGCAGACCAGGGTCCACTCCTAAGCTGGTTCTGGGCTGGAAGAGAGGGGTTCTCAACATGGCTGTGACATCCTTTCCCACCTTCAGCAGACAACCAGGGACATCGCCCCAAGGGAGACACATCGAGGACAGCGCGGTCACAAGTGGGTACGGGCTTTATTCTCAGTGCACAGCAGTACTGCGTTCTGCTCATCAGCAACAAGTTTTATTGGTTCCAAAAAATTATCCCTTTTTTCCATCTTTTTAAACTCCTACTCTTCCTGTCTCAGTGGAACAACATATTTGAATTTCAGATTTGTCAGTTTATAGCATTCCCCCCCCCCCTTAAGAACCATATAAATACATGCAAAAACATTGTACAGAGAGCTTAAATAATGTCAAAATGCAAATACAGATTGGGTGCACTGTTAAGCTGAACTGCAAATTATGGCAACACACACTGGGGTACACATTGCTCTGGTATCACCATTTGCTTATTGATGTCATGCAGACCACAGCGGCCTAGCTTTTGTTTTTATTATTTTGTACAAAAAACAAAAAGAACAAAACACACAAACCAGTGCTTGCTATACTAGTTACAGAAAAAAGAAAAAGAAACTCAAAATTCCTATCTCCGAGCTGATCTGAAAAGAACAGAGTGGTTAGATTGGTTGGCACATATATATGGCATATTCACATATGGCATATATACATATGGGGCGAAAACATGAACCAGCAGCCACTTCAGTCAGGGGAGCTCACCTCCCTCCATCTCTCCTTGTCAAGAGGGAAGGGGACAGCAGGCCTCACAGCAGGGCTGGGAAGGCAGAAAAGACTGGCACTGAGCTAACTGCAAGGGTGTCTGGTCTACTCTGAGGGAGGGGCTGGGATGGCTTAGAAACAGCAGGCATTGCAAATGCCTCACCCCCGCCGCTGCGGGGCAGTCCCTCATTCTTGAAGTGAGGAAATGGGCACTTTGTGATGGTCCAGGGGCGGCTTCAGTCGATAGGCAAGGAAGCAGGAGAGAAAGGAAGTTCTGCATTGGGGGGGTGGGGGTGGGTTCAGGGCACAGGTGAGCTTGCTACGTCCCTCTGTTATAGGCAGTGAGGCAGTCACTCAGATTTAAGTGCAAACACTCCCCTCTGACACTCAAGGGGAAGAAGAAACCGAAACCTACAGAACCCACGGGTGCCAGAGGGGTTCCCAGGAGGTCTCTCTACAACTTTCAGGGACGCGAGTCATTTCAGAGGTCAGAGGGCACCTACGGGAGGGACCAAGCCCCAAGACTGCCGGCTAGGGCTGGAACCAGCCTTTGTCCTCTTCCCCTTACAGCTCTATCCCCCATCTTATATCTTCATGAAGCCTTTCTAGGGGAGGGGCGGAAGTCCCAACTCAGATCCTTGCATAAAAACTCACTGATGGAAAGTTCCAGGGACAACCGGAGGCAAAAGAGCCTCCTATCGGAGGTAAAAAACGCAACGCCCAAATCAGAGGATCCTTGCAGCCCAAGAGATGATTATATCTTGGGTTCTACTCTGCCAGCTATGCATCAAGAAACAAAATCCAACCAAGGCCCCTGACCTTCATCCCTAAGCCCCCAGAGCCTGGCACCCACCTCCCAGGGGCCCACGCTCATTCACTGCTGGCCCTCCCATCTTGCTGGGTGCTTCCCTTCCCATCAGCCTACTGCCCATTTTTCTAGATTTATCAAGAGAGTAATCTAGGACACTATTTCCCCCTTCTCCCCATCAGACCCTTTTCAAACCCAGAGCACCGTTTTTGGGAAAAGCTTTAACTTATGCCGTATTTACTCACTGCCAGTTGGATCACTGAAACGGAATAGGAAAAAACTTATATAAAAAACATAGGCACATAAACACTTAAACTTACCAAGTTCTGTAGCAACAAAATTTATATTAAAAAAGTCTAGAACCCAACAAGTTTCCCCCCCTAAGTATAAAGATGGCTGTTTGGAGAAAGGAATTACGCTGCATTGGTTTGGAAACCAACGACAAATATACTAAGTCACCTGTCATGTTAAACAGCTGGTTATGTGCTCCCTCCACAGGGTTACATGACAGCACTTTATTTTACATCCTTTAAACAAAATACATATGGCTGACTCAAAAAATACGTTTCTGATCTAAAGAAAACTATATATTTTTTTGCATAATATTTCTATATTTTCTCTCCTACTGTGGAAACTAGAATACACAAAAAACCGTTGACTTTAAAAGTAGACACTAGCTCTCAGGAGTAACCTGTCGGGCACCATGAGAGTCTTTT